AGGGATCCATGCTAGGATCACCAGGTATGATGACAAGGAACTATGCTAGGATCACCAGGTATGATGACAGTGCACCATGGTAGGATCACCAGATATGATGACAGGGCACCATGGTAGGATCACCAGATATGATGACAGGGCACCATGCTAGGATCACCAGGTATGATGATAGGGATCCATGCTAGGATCACCAGGTATGATGACAGGGATCCATGCTAGGATCACCAGGTATGATGATAGGGATCCATGCTAGGATCACCAGGTATGGTGATAGGGATCCATGCTAGGATCACCAGGTATGATGATAGGGATCCATGCTAGGATCACCAGGTATGATGATAGGGATCCATGCTAGGATCACCAGGTATGGTGATAGGCATCCATGCTAGGATCACCAGGTATGATGATAGGGATCCATGCTAGGATCACCAGGTATGATGACAAGGCACCATGCTAGGATCACCAGGTATGATGACAAGGCACCATGCTAGGATCATCAGGTATGCTGATAGGGATCCATGCTAGGATCACCAGGTATGATGACAGGGATCCATGCTAGGATCACCAGGTATGATGATAGGGATCCATGCTAGGATTACCAGGTTTGATGGCAGGTATCCAAGCTAGGATCACCAGGTATAATGACAGGGATCCATGCTAGGATCACCAGGTATGATGATAGGGATCCATGCTAGGATCATCAGGTATGATGATAGGGATCCATGCTAGGATCACCAGGTATGATGACAGGGATCCATGCTAGGATCATCAGGTATGATGATAGGGATCCATGCTAGGATCACCAGGTATGATGATAGGTATCCATGCTAGGATCATCAGGTATGATGATAGGATCCATGCTAGGATCACCAGGTATGATGATAGGTATCCATGCTAGGATCATCAGGTATGATGATAGGATCCATGCTAGGATCATCAGGTATGATTTACAAAAAGATTAAAAAATATAAATCATGACTGTTAATAATACATTAACATTATAATGAAGCTTATATAAGGTTAATAGGTCTAATGTTCAATTTAACATAAACTGATATATTTTACTGCTGTTATGAAAATAAAAGGACTTCATTCATTTTTCCAGAAGATGGCGCTCACTGACTATAGCTTAGAATGTTAGTACTATATCTGGTACAAAGCCTATAATTACTTTTTTAGGTGTAACGTTTAGGGTTTTTTTTGCGTAATGGTACTAATATTTATGGAGCCTAACTAATCCTTATGTTTGTCCTGGTTTTTAGAATCCAGTTTAAAATTGCATCCCTCTTGCTAGATAACATAAAGTGTTGTGAGCACTGTGTAGTGAACTGTCCCTACTACGCACAGTTTTCTGGTTGTACACTGATAGCCACTTACCATCTTTCTATTTGCAGTGTATTATATGTGCCATTGATAAGTATATAGATGCCCTGAGTGAGTGAAGTTCTCTCATAGCTGTTAGAGACTGTCTAACCATATGTATGTCCCAGTTTTAGTCTTACTATAGATCAGTAGGGCCGCACCTGCAGAGGATTCTTCCTAGTACTTTGTGGTGTTTCTCAGTTTTAAAACGCAAAGCAAGTAAAATGTCAATCAAGTCACGTTACAAGCAGGCAATCAAAACATTCCTTTGTCATTGATTGCAGGGAGCAACGCTTAGTGTATGCGCTTTCTCCAAATACGTCCATGGATCTGACATCACATCATATCTTTAATATGACTAGCAAAGTGAGGTGGTTCATACATGGGGTGGAATTTGCATGTTTCAGAGGTACGGATAACCTTTGTCTATTAAAAAGACAATAGTTTGTTGATTAGTGGCATTGAGTGTATACAGTTAGTGTTTAACACACTGCACAATGTACAGGATAGGTCAGTCTGGAGTATACCATGTATATCACAGTGTACAGAATAGGTCACTGTGGAGTATGCCATGTACAGAATGGGTCAGTCTGGAGTATGCCATTGTACACTGTACACTGTACACAAAGGGTCAGTCTGGAGTATGACATGTACACAATGGGTCAGTCTGGAGTATGACATGCTCAGAATGGGTCAGTCTGGAGTATGCCATTGTACACTGTACACTGTACACAAAGGGTCAGTCTGGAGTATGACATGTACACAATGGGTCAGTCTGGAGTATGACATGCTCAGAATGGGTCAGTCTGGAGTATGCCATTGTACAATGTATGGAATGGATCAGTCAGGAGTATGCCATGTATATAACACTGTACAGAATGTGTCAGTCTGGAGCATGCCATTGTACAGAATGGGTCAGTTTGGAATATGCAATGTACAGAATGCGTCAGCCTTGAGTATGCCGTGTAAAAAATCACACTGTATGGAATGGGTCACTGTGGAGTATGCCATGTACAGAATGTGTCAGTCTGGAGTATGCCATTGTACAGTGTATGGAATGGTTCAGTGTGGGCTATGCCATGTATATCACAGTGTACAGAATGCGTCAGTCTAGAGTATGCCATTCTACAGTGTATGGAATGGACCAGTGTGGAGTATGCTATGTAAATCACAGTGTACAGAATGCGTCAGTCTAGAGTATGCCATTCTACAGTGTATGGAATGGACCAGTGTGGAGTATGCCATGTAAATCACAGTGCACAGAATGGGTCAGTGTGGAGTGTGCCATGTATAGCACAGTGTACAGAAAGGACACCGTCCATCAGGCCCCCTAATACACTCAGTGAACCACACCATGTACCCCTATGCGGTCAGCATGGTAATACGTTGTCCCTCTCACATGCACCTTTTACACAAGGGAAAGGAATAATGGAAGTGAGAGAAATATTACAATTCAGCCAGGATGATAGCGGGGTTTACATATTCCAGGTCATATGCATTTATGAAGGTCATAAAACTAAAGGGTAAACCTGATTTGCTACAGCAGAAATATAGTTCCTTATAATACACCAAAACAATTTCACAAACTGATATACACCAACTCAGAAGGTGATGGATGGGCACATGGTGGTGGATATTGACAGGCACAGACTAAGATGGATGAGCACAGACTGACAGTGAAGCATGTGATGGACATCGACTGATGGCTGACACTGTGACAGATGGGTAGAGATTGACATAAACTGAGCACAGGGACTTCAACAGTCAGACAACCATGATAGACATACCTGAGCGATTGCTTTGACATTAAGCCCGGCCCACCTACATGGCAGACCAAACCCACCGTGACCGAATCCCCACCCAGGTAATCCTCAGACTGTCAGTTCTTGTAAAATGCAGCTGTAGAAACTAAAATCCTATTCTTCTTTTCACACTTTACAAGATAAATTATTCAACTGTTTGCAATAGAATATCCATACCGAGCTTCAGCCTTTGTATCCTGAAATATGCCTTCACCCAGGAGCTGTAAAGGTAGTAATAAGCGCTCCAAATTATTAGACCTCACAGTATCACAGAGGTCAGATCCCATTCATAAATCTCATCCCCAACCGGTACTTTACACATGGCGGTGCTGATAGCAGACAAAGGAAAACGGACCCACTCCAAAGTTGAGGATTGGTATGTCCTGGACCCACTACAGATCAGGGTGCACCACTAACACACCTTATCAAGTGTACAAACCTTTACACCCTTTACCCTGTATAGACGTTCACTTCTAGAGATGGCACACTCCGAATCTTGGTAAAGCAATCTGTAATATCAGCTCTGATCCCGACTCTCCACATCTCTGTACGTTGTCTATGACCATTCTTTAACAAAATTGGAAATGTGCCATCTCTATAAGCTTCCTCTCCTTTTTTGTTGTTTTATGAACTGTAAAGTGTTGTAGATAAGCCACTACAGGGAGGACAGGTTAGCTACTGCAATTGCTCTTCCTAACCTGTTAACAACTGTATAGATAACATATCAGCCACACAGGGAGTGCATTGTTTTCAATCTATGACCTATAGGCTTGCATTGTGAAAAGGAGCAGAACCTGCATATGTAATAATAAAGTATGTATAAATATAATTAAAAACTATACATATATACATTTTTTGTTATTGCACATTAGTAAGATTGTATGCATCAAGCTGATCTCTTGACATGTACAGTCGACCCCCGAAGTTCGCGGGGGTTACGTTCCTAGAGCACCTGCGAATTGTGAAAAATCGCGAATTTTGAATGTGGTCAAAAAAATGCCTATAAATGCCTATTTTTATAGTGTAAACCCTAAATATGCCCCCAAAACACTTTCATTTAATTTCAAACTCAGCTTAATACAGCTCCTCGGTAGGCGCCTCTTCTTCAGGAACAGCCAAATCTTCTGACAGTTCTTCTGCTGGTCGGGTTTTGTGCTGGCTTTTCTTGATAGGTTTGAGGAACATTGTGATGGGAAGTTGCTGTCGTTGTTTCTTCATGGTGTCGAGGAGCGTTTTATATGTCTGAATGGCAGCATCAATGCCATTATTAACTTTGAGAGCCCCAACCATATAGGGATCCCCTGCTTCAATTATCACTTAACTCCTTCTCTCTCCTAAATATCTGGGACAGATGTTCCAGGCTCTGCTTCTCCTCTTCCTCTTGCTCTGGATTTGTTGCTTCCTCCTCCTCTTTGCTGGCAGACTTTGTTAACTCCGACAAATCCTCGTCCTTCAGGGGTTCAGAGTGGGCATCAATGAGGTTGTTGACCTCATCTTGAGTGATGTTGTCAAAACCATCGCCACCAAGTATTTTTGCCAGTCTCACGGAAAAATCCGCGAACGACTGAGGCTGCGAACGCTGAACCACGAACTTCGCGGGGTCGACTGTACATCTAAAACCAATTGAAAAGACTACAGATTTCCTTCAAAAAGAGGTTTGGGAAACAGCACCATCCTGTTTTATTATTAACTAACTTCCACAATGTCAGTAACAATGTCACACATCTTATGTCTCCACAGCTCTGTCTATGATGACCAGCCAAATGCCCACCAAAGATTTATGGAAAAACTGGACACCAGGATTCGTAATCATGACCGGGAAATTGAGAAAATGTGCAATTTTCACCATCAGGGATTTGTAGATGCAATCAATGAACTCTTAAAAGTGAGGGCTGATGCTGAAAAACTTAAGGTAAGGATTCTTCTATTTCCTCTCTGTCAAGGTGAACCTAGTTTCATTGGTTGTAAATAGTATTTGGTAACTAGATTGTTTTATTAACATAGGCACTGTGACCAACAAACTGTTTTTCTTTTGGATTATTGCTCAAACTATGCTTGTTACCACGTGGGAGGTATTAATATAGCGAATGTTGAAACTATGTGCATGCTTGAGACACGTTCCAAAAGAAATTTGATATGGACCAGTACAGCATTTGTACTTAGAAGTAAGTGATTCTTCTCCTTGTACTTCTTCTGCTCACAATCTGTAAATTACCATTTCCTTGCATGATAACCCCATGTTGAGGGAACATTTCACATTACATAACATAACAGGTAGCAGCTGACACTGTGTATGGCTGCTAGCTGTCAGTCTAATGGTTGGAAACCAGTCAGAGTGCTTCTAGATCATGTGCTCACTATGTCATAGCTGACATATTGATCACATGATGGCTGGATGTTCATTCTCAAATAATGAGCTTTCAGCCTGCAGATGCCACTGTAGCCTGAAGATGGCAGCGTGACTCTCTTAAATACTGTATTTATCACATACAATTACAGCATTAAAAATGAATTAAAATAACATTGATACATACATTAAAAAATATATGCTCTTTTTCTCCAATTATGTAAAAATAATTTAGGTCGGCAAAATAGCCACAGTTATAGTCAAGCAAATTGATGCATTCTAATGTAGATAAATATGGCATGGGAATCTAGACTTCAGGGACTTCTGGTGATCAAAGGTTAAAAGTCCATTCTCACCTGCCACCGAAAATAAATGTATTGTGGATAGCCACACAAGTAGGTAACCACAGTACTAAACCATGAATTACTAAGCCTATGCAAATGTGAAGTTACCTGCAGACTTGGCACTGTTGTTGGGACATAAGAACAGGTTTGGAATATACTGCTTTAAGTTATGTGAACACTTCACTGTCATCTGCAGATTAAAGTAGGCAACATTTCTCTCAGTAAATTTTGACCATTTTTCAATAGCCACATATGAAATGGCTGGCACCCTGAATTTCTCTCTACTCTCCCCCTCGTTTGTCCATAGCCATAATCTCCTGGTCAGGTCATTTTTGCATGTCCAACCACCCTCTGATGGGCATGAGTAGCTTTACACTTTAATAACCTTTATTATTTTAGTCTAATACCACAATATTGTTTAAAGAGAGAATAACAACTCGTTCTTTCAACTCTGTCACTGTAGTTATGGACAACCACTGGTGCACTAAATCACACAATTTTCAGGCTACTGACCATCTCTTTGGAATTCCAGTTCTTGCTCCTGTCTTTGATAGAGACTAAGACCTCTTTCAAATGGCAGTATGGAGGACATAGGAGATTTAATCAATCAGCAAGTAATTCATCCTTCCAACATCATCCCTGTATTGTGAAAGCTATAGATACTATCATATAAAGTAGGGATGCACCGATACCGGTTTTTGGGTATTGAGTTTGAATACTGATTTTTTTTTTTTCGGTACGCGCTGATACCAAATAGCGATACCGGAAGTCCTATTAAGGAAGCCGGGTAACATGTAATGACTTGCCGCCCGGCTTCCTGATTAGCCAGGAAGACTAAGGTGACCACCAGGTGACAAGGAAGCATTGAGCTGGCTTTCTGGCCAATCAGGAAGCCGGCGAGCGGGTAATGGATTACAGCCCGGGTTCCTTATTGGCCAGCTTCCCGCCTAATCAGGAAGCCGGGCAGTGAGTCATTGCTCGCTGCCTGGCTTCCTGATTGGCCAGAAAGCCATCTCCATGCTCCCTCGTCACCTGGTGGTCACTTAAGTCTTCCCGGCTAATCAGGAAGCCGTGTTGCATGTAATGACTCACCGCCCAGCCTCCTGATACTGGAAGTTCCAGTATCGGGATAATTCGGTCATGGACTCATCCAAATACTCGTAATGGACACCCATACCGAAACTAGTATCGGTATCGGTGCCTCCCTAATATAAAGCATAAATATATGTTGAAATGTTCTTTAAGTAGTCCCACAAAATGGTCTGTATGCACTGCTGGCGAAATACCATTAGACAGGTAGTGAATGCTTTCACATCTTTTGATTTTGTTCCTTATAATGGCTGCCTACACTTCAATTTGGATCATGAAGTAGAATTTTTGATGGTTTCATAAAAGCTGATGACCTCAGAGAGCTCTGTCTGGCCAATGGCCTGCTGACTGCATTGCACTGATGTATACCAGGACAAGCAGAAACTCTCTTCTCTCTGTACTTGCCCAGTAATGATAGAAATCCTCATTAGCTCACTATCTTTTCCATTGTGCCAAAGCCACACAATGTTTTTTTGCACGTACATGCAGTTGACTCCTGCGTCAGTGACAGTCCCTCATGTGTAGGTCAGCACCTGCACATCAATAGCCAGTAGCCCCCGTATTTATCCAGGAGGATGTTTTGTGCTGCAGGTGCATCAACGTCACTGTCGAGTTTTAGCAAAACACACAAAACATTCTTTTTCCCCTTTTCATTTCCTTCCAGCAGCCCCTGCCAAATTACATTTGTACCCCTTGGGAGCCAGCTCAGATTTTCAATTATGTGTGGGATATCGCTGGTAATTGTGCTGTAGTGTTTTAGCTTTGGGAAAAATTACGCTTCATCTTCCAGAGAAGTGTTAGGAGCTTCAGCAGAGGTCACACTGTACCAACCCTTTTAGCTCCTTTTACACTTCTGCAGAACACAAATGTGGGCAGCAGACAAGTCGAGCGCAGTTCAGCGGAGCCTGTGATTGGCAAACCATTATCTAAATGATATTCAGATAACAGGGGACAAAACGCGGCATCAATGAGTTCATTGAGCATCATTGTTCGGGAATTAATGAGATTTTGAATCCACCCGAATGCGCTTCCTTATTACGATGACCTAATGGGTCACTCAATATGTGGGAAAATATGAGGTCGCGCTCTGGCTCTGCACCTGCAGCATGAAAAAATCTTGCTGGGGTTTGTATATTTTCACTTTTGATGTGAATCAGCCACCCAATGTTTGCATTCAGCAAAGTATGAATGTTTAATTACAAGAAAAATGCCATCGCCATCTCTCGCGGACAATGAATGGAGCATAGACCTCATTGAGGTTATCAAAAAGGGACCAGTGGCCAATTGGGTCAATGATTTGAATTGTTTGACAGACCCGCAGGAACAAGGAGAGTTCAAAAATCCCAAGTAAATTTGAGAAGTTTGCCACGGAATCTGTTAGTCCGAACTGTCATAAGTAATTAAAGGCAACAAAAGGCCTTTGTGGTTGAAAGTTCAAGTTCAAACTGTAGAGTTAATTTGAATTTGCCCAACTTTGTTCTAAGTTCCTCATGAGTCATGATCTGATTACAAGGGTGAGCAGTTATGTTAGAGCCCTGTTTTCTTATTTCTCTAACCAAGACAAAATTATTTCTTTAAAGGTCCAGGTTACTGATACCAACCGAAGATTTCAGGATGCTGGGAAGGAGGTGAGATATGCGGTTATTATTTATGACTTATTCATACAGGATTTACATGTTCCACAGCACTGTACCCAAGGTAGGCCTGATTTCAGTTATGTCCTCCCACCCATGCATCTTTTACGCCTCCTGTGACCCCAAATTTGTGTGGTCATGTGAAATGAGCCTTTGGCTGCATAACCTCTGTATGCATTTGGATTAAAATGCACCTGCCATTGTGCAGCAAAGGATATATTGCAAAGAAGAAAGCTAAGACGTACCCTTGTTTTTTATTATGAAGGCTTTATTGTAATTTGGAAGTGTGATTTTAAAAGAGAATTATGGGGTAAGTGTTTTTCCCCATAGTTCTCTTAAGGGTCACGGGAGTACATATACTAGCATTCTCCTGTCAGCCAAAGCTCGGTATATCGCGAGCTACAGCTCTCGGTATACTGAGACCGCCGCAGCCGGGATGGATCCCGACATTACTATCGAGATCCACCCAGCTGCGTAAATGACAGCTGACTCTGCCTTTCTAGAGGCAGTGCCAGTTGTACCCGCCCCCTCCCCTGTCCGTTCCTCCACTCAGCGCTGGAGGGTTGGAGAGGGAAGGGGAGGAATCCCTGCTGGGAGCCGTGACTGACAGTCACTGCTCTCTGCTGGAAGATAATCGAGAAGTGAGTGAACGACGGTATGTGTTCGCTCACTTCCCGACCTATTGAGCCGATGTTTTTTATTGTCACACGTTGGCTCGAACTATGAGCATGAGTGAAAATTACTCACCTCATAGTTCTCCTTTAAGTTTCACTTTTATTTTCATCATACTACCTTTGCATTTGCACATAAACATGGCAGCTAAAATGTTGTTGTCATTTTTCTAGGCTTTATCTTGAACAGTTATTATTCCTTCTCATTAAATAATTATTTAATAATTAATCAACTATTACAATCATTTACTTTTCATGGGTCTTTTTCTCTACATCTCCACCTTTAAAGGATAAGTTCACCTTTTGCAAAAATTAAAGAAATGCATAAATAATCATTTATAAAAAAATATGCATTTCTTTAATATTTGCATTCAAGCCTGGAAAGCATTGCAATTGTGATCACTCGATCACAGCTGCAGAGCTCAGGCTTCTGCACATTCTCTCCCAGGCGGAGCTCCCTACGCAGGTACAGAGTTTTAGTTAGGAGAGATGGGAATTGGACGGCTGGATTTCAAACTGCATTAAATCACCTCATACAGCGTCCAGCCGTCCTCCCTCTAGGTAGATGCAGGAATATGGGCAGCTCAAGATACTCACAACTAACTAATCAAGGATGGGTATTTGTCTCCCAAATTTTCCTTCTCAGAGAGACATGTTCCCATCTATAGCTAGCCTTAGCTTTTCTTTATTTCTGTTAGTTCAGCACTTGTTAGCAAGAGTTAAACTTTGACATATAGATAACTACTAGAGCAAGAATCAACAAGTCTGTGTAAAAAATGCTACCACATTATATTAAAAAGCAGTCTTGTAAAAACCAAATCAAAGTATACTTCAGGCAAAACTTAAGATACACTTAAGATACACTATAGTTTCCCTTTAAACTAATGGGTCAAAACAATAGGGGGCATGAAGCTAAATGTTTACACTCATAGGTCCACCTTAAATTAATGAACATCCTAATAAAGAGGCATGGAACCAAAGCGCTGCAGCCTCTTACGTTGATGACATTCTCTTGGAAAGTCCATTGGTAGTTATTGGTGGTGAAAGGTCCAGGAACATGTTACATTTACATAGTTACATAGTTACATAGTATTTGAGGTTGAATAAAGACATTAGTCCATCAAGTCCAACCTATTAGGATCTCATTCTAGGAGTACCCGTACCCCTGTATATTACGGTCCCTTAAGAAATCGTCCAAAAGTTTCTTGAACAATTCCACATTATTTGCTGAAATCACCGCCTGTGGCAGTGAGTTCCAGACCCTAACTGATCTTACTGTGAAGAACCCCCTTCGCACCTTGTAATGCCACTCTTCTCTCATCCTGGGAACCTGTTTAATTGACCGCTCATCTGATGTTCTTACCACAGTCAGACAGGTACAGTACATAACATTTGTGCTGCTTAATCTCTGAATCCAAACTCTTCATGACAGCAGTGATAGCTAATAAGCCACTTTTCTAACAATTTTATTTGCAAAGAGATTTTCTCCAATACTGCTTTTTGCCTTTAGTGTTAAAAATGTTGTTTTTTCTTTTGCCAGGTCATTGCTAAGACAGAAGATATCATCAGATGCAGAACACAGCAGAGAAATATTGCAACTGTTGTTGATAGGTTGCAGTTGTGCCTTCCGGGTGAGTAACATTCTGTACTACTATATTTAAGTGACATTATTGGACAGGTCCAGTTATTTTTACCTGGCTGTTAGCAATTAGCTAAAATATAATTGCTTGTAGGGAAGTAAAAAAGACTAAGCCCTGGTTCACAACTAGGGGTTTTTGAGCAGTTTGAAAACGCTTTTAACTGCCCAACACAGGAAATCCCATGATTTTCAATGGCCCTGGTTCACACCTGAGCAGCAAAACGCCTAGCAGGAAAACGCCAGACGCCTGAAAATATACAGGAGCTTCTTTGGGCAGTTAAAAGCTTTTCATCCCCATAGACTTAATTGGAAATGCCCAAAAACACCCAACAGAAGGATGTTGCACATTTTCGTGAGCGTTTCTGAGCGTTTATACGCATGAGCTGCCAATAAAAACACGCTTTTAAATGCGCATACACATGTGCACAACGTGCAAATAACCACATGCTGCTAACGTGCGTACAAACACGCAAAAACGGTGCCGCCTAGGTGTGAACCAGGGCTAAGTCGCAGATATTTGAAGTAATTAAAGCGATAATTGTAATACAATGACCGAAAAATTTTGCATTTCATCGGATAATGTATATACAATTGTTGTATATACATTATCTGCTGAAATGCAACATTTTTGAGTGATTGGAGAAATATCTAAAAAGACAACTAATATAATGTAGTTCCTTATATACATTATTCAGTGAACTGACTGTATCCTGGCACTCCACTTATCAGCCTAACATTTGATCTGGTAAAATTCTTTGCAGCTCCATGATGAAGCTACTGGTAAACTAAACAGATTTAGGCCTTGTTCACACCAAGCGCGTTCCAGGAGCAAGGCAGAGCAGTTAAAGACCGGAGCAAAACTGCATCCAATGTATTCCAATGGTATTGCAGGCAGGGCCCAGATCAGGTTAGGAGGGCAATCGATCTTATTTCAGTGCTTAACAACTCCGTGGGGGGCCTTCACTCTCAAAAGGGTATGCTACTCTCTATAGATCTTCAGAAAGCATTTGACTCGGTCTCTTGGGATTTTTTGCTGCAATTGTTAAAACACTGGGGGTTTGGACCTTATTTTTCACATATAGTCCAAGTATTGTATTCCTCTCCCTCAGCGCAGATTCGCCTACAGGGCTATTTGTCAGAATCTATTTCTATACGTAGAGGGACGAGACAAGGGTGTCCCCTCTCGCCTTTGCTATTTGCTCTGGCGATTGAACCTTTAGCTATATTGCTTCGAGGTAGCTCTGATATAAGAGGGATCAATTGCCAGTCAGAGGAACACAAATGTGCTCTTTTTGCCGATGATATGCTACTTTTTATAACCTCCCCTCTTGTCTCACTGCCCAATCTGATGACCCTGTTGGATGAGTTTTCTAAGATCTCAGGACTCCGAGTCAATGCTGCTAAATCTGTGGCACTCAATATCAATCTTCACCCGTAGCTGTGGGAGGCCCTTAAGTGCTCATTTCCATTTCAATGGCGAGTGGACTATCTTCAATACATTGGTGTTAAGCTTACCCCGCTATATGAGCAACTTTATACAGCTAATTACCCTTCATTATACAAAGCCTTTAAGGAAGATATGAAGAGATGGTCCACCTACAATTTATCTTGGCTGGGGCACATTCACGCAATTAAAATGACCCTAACCCCTAAAATTTTATATTACTTCAGGACCCTCCCGATTCCGATCCAACGGACAGATGTTATCAAAATGCAGTCGTATATTGGCAAATTTATTTGAGGCGATAAAATCCCCAGAATTTCTCGTACTATCCTTTTTAAAACTAGAAATCAGGGGGGACTTGCGGTTCCGAATTTGCTTTATTATTACAGAGCGGCACAGTTGGCACAGCTGTTCTCTATAAACTCTGTGACAGTTGTCCCCGATTGGGTTAATTTAGAGATTAGTTTGCTTAGGGGTACCTCTGTTGAGGCATTGAAATGGATGTCTTCCCAGCTGGGACCGAAGAACATCTTACCTACTTTGTTACATTCCTTGGCCATATGGGATAGGTTTCGGGCTAAAGAAGGGATCGACTCCTCTCATACCCCCCTTGCACCACTGTTCAATAATGTAAGCTTCCCACCGGGATTACAGCCTAAAGCATTTCAATGGTGGGTGGATAAAGGCTTGTATAGGATTGGAGATTTCATAATGTTACATAAACCAATCTCGCTTTCATATTGTTTAAATACCTTGCAGATGCCGCAGTCGGAAATGTTTAGATTTAGACAGATACAGCATTACTTGAAATCATTACATATTCCTGAAAGTGGTGCCCCGTTATTGACACAGTTTGAGCGTGGTGCTCGCGGGGGTCTGACCAACAGGGGGGGGGGGATCTCCTTAATATATGCTGTATTACTTGGACCATTCACGAAACTTGCTTATATGACTGCATGGGAAACTGATATTGGTGTAGCCCTCTCTATTGAAGAATGGCAACAGTGTACTATGAGGTTGACGCTGGCCAATTATAAAGTTTTTCCCAGATGGTACCTTGTTCCAGTTAGGCTGGCAACTATGTTCCCCGGGAAGAGCCCTTTATGTTTTAGAGGATGTAATCAGCAAGGTACTATGATCCATATCTGGTGGCAGTGCCCCAAAATGCTCCGCTTCTGGAATACGTTTTTTGCCCTGTTTTCTGAGATCCTCCGGTTTCATATCCCGAGAGATCCGCAATACTTACTCCTGAATAAAACGGTCCCAGGCATTCCAAGAGCACAGGGCAATCTCTTGTTCTTTTTTTCCTTAGCAGCTAAGATCTCCATCGCTCGGTCCTGGAAATCAGAATGGGTACCATTCTCGATGGTTCTATCCAAACTAAATTGGATTATGATCCATGAGAAGCTCTATAGTATATTGCAAGATAGATACACTAGCTTTGAAGAAGTCTGGAAACCATGGCTTATGCATCAAGGGATTTCAAATTTGTCGGGCATCCTGCCCAAATCCTCGGGTTAGTGAAGGCTTTAGATATTAGGAATTTATGAGTCTGCAATTTTGTATTCTTTCTGCTCTATTCTCCCCTCCTTCTTTTTTTTTCTCTTTTTTTTTTCTTCCCCTATTACTTTCTCTTCTTTTTCGTAATTAAATAGTGTTTCCATTTAACTTTCCCCCTGGTGGGAGTTGTGTACTACACCTGGTGGGAGTTGTGTACTACCCATCCATAGGGATTTAGCATACACAGATTAAGGGATATATAGTCGTACTCACAAGGGCATGAGAGAAAAATCGAATATATATTTTTACCCCCTTATTTAAGGCAGGAGTACCTAGGGTATAAGAATAAGCATCAAGGGCTCCTGAAATGTTTTGATTCTATAGAGAAGGGGAAGAAGTCTTGTTCCTCATGCTCTGTCGCTGTTGAAAGATTATCGATTGCTAGACAATGCCTATTAGGATAAATATGTTATATAATTATATGACCTTATTTCTGTGTGTGATTAAAAGTTTATAAGTATGGAAACCAATAAAAACTTTGAAATCCAATGGTATTTTTAGCTCCAATTCACATTGCAGCCTTCCGTTCCAGAGCAGGTAAAAAACTGCAGCAGGCCCTATTTTACCTGCTCTGAAATGCATGCAAACACAACAAAACGCATGCAAACACCCTGAAACGCACTGAAAGCCAATTTTAAACTAAAAAAACAAAAACAATTTTTAAAACCAAAAACGGCCCGGAACGCATTAAAAACGCGGCAAAAAACACGGCAAAAACGCGGCACAACCCACTGCACTGCATGTGCAGAAACTTATGCAGATCTGCTCTGCATTTGGTGTGAACACGGCCTTATGGCAAGTATTTCAGCAGTACAAAATTAAAGTGACACTAAACTCAGGAGTTAAACCCTAAAAATACATTCAAGTACCCTAACTACTAACAAAAATGTATCTTATTTGTGTATCACTCGACTGTAGATCCTCAAATCGTCTTTGAATTGGTGCTGACATTGTTCTTCCTTCTGGAGGGTGGCTACGTTTGTTCCTCATAGTCCCTGTGTGTGTTGTAAAGTAGCCACCGCTCCAAGCTTGCTCCTGTGTTGGACTACAATCTCAATATAAATGAGTAAACTAAACATGAGATTGTAGTCCATCCCAGGACCTAGCTTGGAGTGGTGGCTACTACAACACACACAGGGACCATGGGGAACAAAGGTAGCCACCCTCCAGAAGGAAGGACAGCGTCAGCACCAATTCAGAGATGATTTGAGGATCTACAGGAGAGCGATACATGAATAAGATACATTTTTGTTAATAGTGAAGGTACTTGAATACATTTTTAAGATTTAGCTCTTGAGTTTAGTGTCACTTTAAACAGACTCTCACAGTCAGTGGACAGTCAGTAAATAGCGTACACAGTTGCAGTAAAAAAATCAGAGCCTAGAAGGAGAGTTATAAGCCTGAATACTGTCAATCTAACAAAGTAATACTGAAACCAGGACAGTGCAGTTATAAGACAAATCCATACAAATGTACAGCCAGAAAAGTGCTGTTGTAGAAAATGTCTCATTACAACGTGGCATTGCCAGTCTTGCAGCAGGAAAATGTTTTTTTTTGTTCCTGATTCAGCCTTGCTGAGCTATGACATGTTGAGGAGCAGGAGCTTGCAACAGATCATACTTTCTAATGCTTCCTCATGGGTATGACTCTTAGATGAATGGGAAACTTATAAATTAAAAAGATTGTTTTTCCACGGAAAGGGTTGTAGATTTTGTGTAATTACATTGGAGTATGCAGTCATTTTAGAGCCAGATGGTGTTCAGTGGAATTGTATTAGGAGTCAGTTCTTTATGCTTGCACAAACATAAAGCATGTTATTGCCAAAAGTAAGTTCATTTTTTAGATGGAAGGCAGCTATTGATTTTGACTGTGTTTTATTCTATTAGAAAGTGTGAACACCTTAATAGTTCTACACTGACAGCCAGTGCACAAGCAAAGCACTCCGTTTTGGATGTGTTGCACTAAATTTGGATTTCTGCTGCTGTGAACATTAGAGGTTTACATGTTTTAATATTGTAAATATTAGTTAATTTGGTAATATCTATCAGTAAAACTACTGATGAACTTTTTCCATTGATGACCAGCTCTTGCGTTAGCTTGGTACCCCTGAGTGCAAAGCTTGCATTGTGTTTCGGAGGCCCAGAAGGGGCACGTGTTAATTAGGGATGAAAAAGTAACAGTCCACGCTTTGTTAGAAGTAGCATCAAGGCGCCTCTCCGTTTGTATGGCTAAGGCCTTCCTGCCTTCAATTATCTGAGGTGAAAATATTAAAGCTGGGCATGACCCTGGCTGTAGCTTCATGACTTTGGAGAATGTTCCTGGGCTAACAGTAGCAGTGTCAAGTTATTTGGGAAGAACTAGGTCACTTTATAACTAGAGGAACTTGATGCTAGTTTTGCTACCATTCTCCACTGCTACAGGTAAAAAGAAAAACAAGAATCATGATGACTAGAACAATCAAAACTCTATGGCTGATCTATAACTTTGAGAAGTGGCTAATGGAATATGGTTTAGCTCTGTAGAAAAAATATTCTTAACTTATTTATAAAAATACAAAGAGATTGATTGTCATAGTTCAACTTGTTACTTTTTTCATGTTTTTTTTAGCCTTAGAAATGTACAGCAAGCTAAAGGAACAGATGAGTGGAAAACGGTGAGTGTAACTGCAATGTTAGTTTTAAGTAAATCAGATGACTTGTGTTGTCTTCTTTCCAATGGACATGACCTATCTGTTTTCTTACTAAATAAACTGTATTAAAGGAGAACCCTCTAAGCAGATACTAAATTTGAAAGCTCTGTCAGTGGGAAAGTTCTGCAATAAACATCACTCACCCTCTATGCCCTGCTTAGGCAAAATGCCTACCAAAGCTATTTTTTGACCTGAAAAGACAGTGGTCAGGTTCCTTGTATAGTACCATATCTCAGAAATGGCACAAAAAATGTATTATATTAAAATTTGTTTTCTCATAGCCCTTACCTCCTAATAGTTGGGTAAAGCTCTCTTGAAGTAAACCTGGAAGAACAGTAATCAGCTTTTTAAATGGCATAATTTGCCATACTGTCTATGAGTATGTTTTTATTATACACTATAGTAAACATGGTGTAGACACATGATTGTTCATAAGGTTACGTTTACTTTGGGCCTACAACTGTCAGTCTTGCACCCCTTTGCCAGCTGTAGCACTGGCATATTTAGAAAGGTGAGCTGTCCGTAGGGGTACCTAATCGTTCTTTTTTAATTTAAGATGACTGATCCCCTTAAGGGGCAGATTGGGAGTCTTATGCCTCCCCTGTAGTCCTAAAGTTTGTGAACATTTTTCAGTGAGCATGAAGCTTTTGCATGATTTATCATTCCCCCTTCAACCAAATATTTGTTACCACCTTTTGAAGCCCAAGCCACATTTGAGTGCATCACAGAAATCCGATGTTTTGTCTGAAAAAAATAATTTATTAGCAGGCGCCTGGTCTCTCTTCATGGAAAAAGAAAGACAGGTCCTTGCACAGTTGTCAAAAATGAATACTGCCTAAACAAGATTACCATCACAAACAAATATCCCCTGTCCCTAATTTCCCAGCTCTTTCCCCGCAGGGAGCTGTTTTCACCAAACCAAGATTTGCCCAATGATCTACTACTGATTGACCCCAGTATGTTATATTACTGTTAAAATGAATCAGCTTGTAGGGTTATCTGCTTCTGCTTGTCTACCGACTATTGTGAGTTCATCAAGATTCAGTCTCCCCCAGTTTCTCCTATCATTTTGTTAACCAATTTTGGTGACCCTTAGAAGCGTTGGAAGCTTTTGAAAAACTGATGCCTGCTTTCCTTTCTACCCCAGTGCTTTGGAGATGCTATTCCACTCTTTTCTTGGAAGTAGATGCTGAACCTGCCTGCATCATGCTTGCACAATATTTTTAGACTGCTCAAGACCTCAAGACCTTTTTACCATCACAGCTTTACCCAAAATTTTTTGCTTAGGGACACCATTCTCAAACTCAGTGGTCACTTGAACCTCGTTTCCATAGATTGGACTGAGTAGTGAATTTATAGAGGTATACCTACTAGGAATGAATATAGTGACTGGCCCTGGTAGGTACCAATGGTTTATTTTTATTAACATTTTTAATAGTTGCAAACATCTGTGTCATGAAAAGCATGAATTAAAAAAAATGGACACAATATAAGCAAATGTTCTCATAATTTGGCAAAGTAAATGTTCTGTTACATCTTTTGTGAGAACAGGATATTTGGAGAAACAGGAGTCAACAAACAGATTTGTGAGTGAGTCAAGGTAGACAAATCCAAGCTTATTAAAGGAAAAAACAGGAAGATAAAAAGAGTCGATGAGGAGGTAAGTCAGAAATATGAGTAGAAGAAGAGTGATAGCAGAAAGATTAATAGAGTGGGGGACTCCGAAGGGCAGGGATAAAATTATTGACTACGAGGAGGTAAAGCTTTCAGAAGAGAGCGAAGCGTGAGCATGTTGTATCCATGGAGACCACACTTTTAGGAATTTTTCTTTGGTTGTCCAGAAGAATACTGGAGAGTTTCTCATTTATGAAAAATGAATCAATGCGGTGTCTAACTTCCGTGAACTGTATGATCTTTCTCTTCCGAGCTTTGGCAATAGCTGCTTTGCTGCTAATACAATTAAAGTAGTTAACTTTAATTGAAGGTTTCTAAGACAAGGTTTAAGGTGTAGCACCGCAAGCCAAGGGTCTCTCGGTAATGGAATATGAAATATGAATTGTAAGAGTTTGAATAATCTGGTCCAGAATCTGCTTAGCATAGGGCACGTCTGCCATATATGTAGCATATCTCCAGCAACATTGCAACCCCTGAAACACATTGTGGAGAGGGAGGGGTGGAAGTGTGCGACCCTGGCCGGGACCATATACCAGCAAGTGAGGACTTAAAAAGCCAATTTAACAAAAGTTATATCAATGGAGCAGGTGGCCACCCCATCCACATCCGTTGCCAGTGCTCAACAGTTTTTGTACGGAGATAGTGATTTGAAATGAATGCCCGCATGGAAAACTATTGGCAAAAAGTAAATTTAAACTCTTCCCTAATAAATCTAGCCTTGACAAAAGCCAGATGTTTCATATAAATGGAGCAATTTGTCAAAAGCGTAATGAAGGCTTCAAAAAAATTAAGATTTTTAGTTAAACAGCATGACATGTAATGAAAATATAATCAAAGGAGACTGAATATTATCCCTTAATATTTTACTCCATCTAAAACAATTTAAGGAGCAGCATTACATGAGATCCTGAGGGAGCACAGTTGGAACAGAGGAATAATGATCTCTTCCTAGTTCATTAATATCTACTTAATCTATCATAACACATCATAAATGAATTTACAGTTTAAACAGCAAGACAATTGACCTTGGCAGTGTCCTTCGTACAGCTCTTGGGTAGCTATTTTCACGAGAGTAGTACCTATTTTTCCAGTAATTGGTATCATTTACTTTATTAAGTGGGAACATTTATCTTAAAGCCTGGCTTTATACTAGTTGGTGTTTTATAGGTCTGTTCATGAAGATGTGATATAGACATTTAAAAAGTTACCAATAAAGTTTGAGCACCCTTTACATCTGTGTGATTGTATGGTTTAAAGGAAATCTAAAGCTTTTTGTGAAGTAAATATATCTTATTAACTGTCTTACAGCTCGTTCTTAGCGGTGGACTTAACTTTAAAGCTGCTATCAGGGCTGGTGCTAGGTTTCCTGCCTACACAGGCAAGGTGGATTTTTTGCGCCCCCGCTCCCCTCACCCTGTAAAAACAGGGCATTTTGACAAGTACTTGTACTTTTCAAAATGCCCCGATGTTTGCGCTATGTTTTTTTTTCACTTACCTTCGGCCCGGGAGAGCAGCGGCGAGTCAGCGCTGGTCCGGTGGGAGGAGCTCCAGGTGGGGTCCTAATTTAGCTGGCCGGCGACTGCCTGAGGTGCCGCGCGTGTCGGGATCCTCAGGCAGTCGCCGGCCAGCTAAATTAGGACCCCACCTGTAGCTCCTCCCACTGGACCAGCGCTGACTCGCCGCTGCTCTCACTCGCCGAAGGTAAGTGAAAAAAAAACATAGCACAAACATCGGGGTATTTTGACAAGTACTTGTCAAAATGCCCTGTTTTTTCCGCCCTCACCCTGCAGCGCCGTAAGGCGGCCGCCTGACTTGCCTTGCGGTAGCGCCGGGCCTGGCTGCTATTAATGATGCGGGATGGGGAGCCGATATGTGAAGCTGACCGCGCTTTTTATTGCAAGGTCCGCTTTAATGTACAAAGTGAACCTGTGCCCAGACTATGCACACAAAAGTATTTACATATTCTGAACAAGCATTAAAAAGCCCTGTTTACAATGTAGAAGTGATGATGTCCAAGCACTTCTTCAGGGTGGTGATGTGCGGCTTCCCCCACCTTTGTCTTCACACACACAAACATGTTCCTTGGCTCTCCTGTAACAGTTCCAACACAATTAAAAATGTTCTAGGAATATTTCTAGAAGAATACAATGTTTTTTTCACCAACTCATCCAGCTATCAGTGGATGTCAGCCTGTAACCCAGAGCCATAATCAAAACTGTGCAACTAGACATGGCTACAAATCGGTTACTTAAAGGAGAACTATAAGGTGAGTGAAAATCGCTCATCCTCATAGATCGAGCCGACATGTGACAATTAAACTGTCACACGACGGGTCAATAGATCGCGAAGTGAGCAAACGCATACTGTCACTCAAGCACTTCTCGATCATCTCCCTACAGAGAGCGGTGACTGTCAGTCACGGCTGCACGCAGGGATTTTCCCCTCCCCGCTCCGATCCTCCGGCGCTGAGTGGAGGAGCCGCCCGGGGAGGGTGCAGGTACAACTGGCTCTGCCTCTAGATAGGCAGAGCCAGCTGTCATTCACGCGGCTGGGTGGGTAGCCGACATTCATTGGTAAAGTAGAGCCAACTGCTCATCTGTATAGAGCTGTTTGGTTCAACACAAACCTCGTACACCAAAATATCTGGCAGGTTCTCCCTTCTTGGAGTCTCGTTCACAATACCTTAAAAGAGTTGTAAAGTCCCAGCATAACTCTATACTATCCTGTCATTACATCAGCATTGTAATAGGAATACACACTATAGTTGTTTTTCATAATGCATTTAAAGCTTCCTTGAAAAAGTCTCTTTTCTATAGTAAGTACTGCCTTCTGTCCCTCCAAAACTTTCAGCATCTTCATGGATTCTCAGTGTGCTTCTTGTCTCTTTCCCTGCTTCTTGATGTGATGCAATCTCAATTTCTCTACATATCCCATCATGCATTGCTTCCTGCAAGCAATAATGATGTTCCATTTTGGGTGTTTTTTGTGTTCACTGTGAGAGAGTGGGAAAGAGTTGAGTTGTAGTTTGGACAGCAGGCTTAGTTAGAGTCGTGACACAGGAAAGTGCATATTCACAGGCCTGAGTAAAATTGTGTCAGTGCATTGAGTAAGTACATCCTATGGGCATCTTCAATAAGTAAATTTACAAACTTCTAGGTGGATATGATTATCAGGACTGGGATAGAACTTATGGAAATTCAATATAGAAATATAGATTTATTTCTAGTTTTTGACCGTAGAGACCCTTTGGCTATATGCTACGTTTTGTGTTTTTTTAAATAACATAGTGTCTCTCTATAATATTGGCATCCTTTCTTCCTGTTCACTTCCATGAGATTAGCGGCTTTCTTCTATTCATTGTAGATGCATTATCCTAAGGCTGAGAGCTACATGACAAATTTCTGTGTGTAGAAAATGCCAAATGCAAGCAATACAACATAAATCCTGACCTGCAAATGACCTACAAATTAAAAAAAAAAGTCTCAAAGCTCCCATCTGAGCAGATGTTGAAAGGGCAAGGCCTTGAGCTGGAGATATATATAATTAGCAAGGGGCTCAAGAATGGGTTTAAGTTGGATTATGCTAATTCTGATTTCAGTAACTGCATTGGAAAACCTTCCAGATGAACCAACAGTGTTGCGATAAGCTGATTTATATAATTTGAATAAAACCGTTTATATGATTTTTAATGCCGTTATGGAATTATCTCCCGAGAGGTCACGCCATGTGAAGCTGCTCTTTTAGAAATTGGATGAAAGAAGTCCTGAAACTCATCTGTGGCATTCTAATTTACAGCTTACGCCATCCTACACAATTCACTCCTTCGCTGACCACGTTATTTATTTTCATGTCTTGCCAGTGTGATCCTATTAACCGCTGCCACAGCTCTGCGCTGAGCAAAATAACAAACATATTGAAATCTGCATGTTGGGAGTTTCTGGTATGATGCTAAAAAGTAATATGAGGACAACTGTTAAAAAGAAATGAATATCTGACATTTAAGTTGTAAAGCCCGTATTGATCATGGTGTAAACTGCTGTGCTCTTTTATTAAAAGCAATAAATAGATTGCAAAAAATGGGAGATCCTACAATTGTTTTAATGAAGGAGCTTAAGATATTTGTAGGAAATACTTTACGCTTAACCAACTTACCTCAAGTTACCTTTGCTTCTACTTTTGCTGCCAACTCTTGCTTCAGTGATCCTGCTACTAACATTGTGCCGTAGACTCAACTTTCTGGAGGCATTGCGCGCAACTTTTAAAGCAGGATTCTCCCTGTGCTCTGTTAAACAGTTCTTGCCTTTTATTGTCTGTTAAAATTCACATTAAAGGAACCTATAGGGATGTATATTATCATGCTTACCTGTCATTTTCCTTTCCTGGTGCCTATCCATGGCAGCATATTTTCAAGAGTATGCTGCCATGTAGGCACCAGGAAAATTTAAAATTTTATCATACTTGCCTGTATCATACTTGCCTGTACTCTTTGAAAATATGCTGCCATGTAGGCACCATGAAATGGGTTTGCACGTTAGTATGCATCCATAAGTTGTTTGCATTTACTGATCACAAAGGGATTTAGCTTGATGAATAAGGTGAAGCTGTGCTGACTACAATCTTCCAATCAAGTTCGCGCAAAAATCCTTTTTTTTTTTTTTAAATTATCGGTCCTGTGTATTTTTTGCAACATGAATTTCCACTTGGCTTCACCTCCTTCTGTAGGGTGGCTACCTTTGCTCCCCATGTTCCCTGTGTGTGTTGTAAAGTAGCCACCACTCCAAACTCATGTCTGTGACGGACTACAATCTCAATACAAATTAGTAAGCTAAATGGGAGTGAGCTTGGAGCAGTAGGTACTTTACAAGACGAACAAACAAAAGAAGCCCCCCTCCAGAAGGAAGGACAGTGTCTGCATGAATTCAGAGATGATTTGAGGATCTACAGCCAAGTGATTTTTCTTAACATTTTAGATACTTGAATGCATTTTAAGATTTAACGTCTGAGTTTAATGTCTCTTTAAGAAATTCATGGTGTTGGCAGCCAGTTATAATCTCTGTGGCTGTTTGTGACATTATATAGGCCAGGGTTGCCCATTAGGTAGATCATGATCTACCAGTAGCTCTCAAAGCTGATGCTGGTAGATCACGAAGGGTGTGAATGGCGGCCCCTTTATTCCATTTTGGTATATTTATTTAGCTGTGCACACACGATTACCTATTAGCCTGAGTCTGCTGATCCAAGCTCCCTGACACCTTTCTGGTGGATACAGGTGGTTTAAGTTCTATGTATTACATCAAAGAATATTAGTTTACACATCCTGTTGCAAAATACAGCAAGGTCAACCAGGAGAGAGAGCAGGGAGAGACAGTCAGGAAAGAGAGAGAGGAGAGACAGCCAGGAAAGAGAGAGGAGAGACAGTCAGGAAAGAGAGAGAGGAGAGAAAGGGAAAACGAGGAATGACAGCCAGGAGAGAGAGAGAGAGAGCGAGGAGAGAAAAGAGAGACAGCCAGGAAAGAGAGAGGAGAGACAGTCAGGAAAGAGAGTGAGGAGAGAAAGGGAAAACGAGGAATGACAGCCAGGAGAGAGAGAGAGAGCGAGGAAGTTTTTTCCTTTGGTAGATCTCATGTAGCTCGTCATTTGAAAAGTAGATCTTAACACAAAACATTGTGGGCACCACTGATATAGGTTATGTAATGTATGATCCATAATGTATTTTTCTCTCCACAGGTATTACTCTGCCCTAAAAACAATGGACCAGCTAGAACACGTTTACCTCCCCAAGGTCTCTCAGTATCGCTTCTGCCAGATTATGGCTGAGAATCTCCCCAAGTTACGAGATGAGATCAAGGACATCTCCATGTCTGGTCTAAAAGACTTCCTAGAGAGTATCCGTAAACACTCTGACAAAATAGGAGAGACCGCCATGAAGCAAGTACGAGTCCTGTGCCAGCTCTTCTTTCACTGGGATTATGTATATTTATACATATATTCCTTTCTTTCTCTTTCATTCTCAACAAATAAGACTTTTTTGGCAATATTATCTTGCAAAATTATTATTTTTGTATAGAAAAATAATGTAACAAAGCAATACACATTATTCTGTTTTGACCAATGTTAATTGTAAAACAACTAGTGTTACTGTAGATATACTGTGTACATTTTATTCTATAATTTGTCCTGATTATAAGAACCCTAAAATTAAATTTGTAGAGCATGGTACAGAGCATGGGCAAATTTATTTACTAATAAAATAAAGGCTTTAAAAAAAAAATTAAAGCAACGTTACAAAAAAATGAGCAAACAAAGCATGGGAGAATGGAAAAAGTTTAAATATGAATGATAAAAAAAGGAAAATTAAAATAAAAAGGCAAAAAAAAGCTGATGGGAGGAGGGGAAAAATACATTAATTAGGGTTGATTAAGATTAATTAGGGGTTAATAAGGGCTTAAAAAGGTATAACATATATGAAAATGTATTTATAAGCAAGCCCTGAAACACTGTTTGCAGGGTTTTGTATATATAGGAGCCGCTTTCTGTGTTTCTGGTGCACAGATCGGGACCCATCTGTCAAAATGACAGCTGAGTCTCAGCAATTCCAGGGGCTACTAGTAAAGTGGGCCCTTAAAGCATGCACCTAACAGGCCTCATGGAATATCGTGCAAAGTTCATTTATTTCACTAATGCAACTTATGCGGTGAAACTAATATATGAGATAGACTCATTACATGCAAAGCAAGATTATTCAAGCCGTGATTTGTCATAATTGTGATGATTATGGCTTACAGCTCATGAAAACCCCAAGAACCCCAAATCCACAACCTCAAAAAAGTAGAATATTACATGCAATCAATAAAACAAGGATTGTACTTAGAACAATATCGGACCTCTGAAAAGTACAAGCATGCATATGTACTTAGTACTTGGTTTGGGGCCCTTTTGCAGCACTTACTGCAATTACTTTTGCAAGATATTCTAATTATTCAAGTTTCACCTGTATGTATGTTCCTCACACTCATTAAAATTGAGGAAGCTACTTAGATGGGTGGTGAAATGTCTTCAACATTGCAGAACAAGTTCAGTTGAATGTGACTAACAGTTACTGTTTTAGATTGCCTGTTGGTACAGCTGAGACAGGTAGATCATGCAGTTTATCTTCTTAGTCCCCTCATGTATCCATGTTAACATACGTGCGTATATTGTTATTGTTATGTTCTCAACTTTTTTAATTTTCTGCTTTTTTTGTTGTTGTTAATCCCAGGCACAACAGCAGAAAACATTCCATGCCGCCCTACACAGGCAAACCAATGTGGCTTACAGAAAGCCTATGTACATAATTAATGGCCATGGCTCTGAAGATGAAAATGGACTAAAATCAAAAAGTCCAATGCTGGAAGATGAGGAAACAGAAGAAGAGGTATCGTTTTTACTCGTATTGTTTAAGCGGCTTGTACAGGGTTAGTTAGTACAGCTGGTGGCTACACTTATACTGACATTCTTTTTTGCTGGTTGGTAGAACAGCCTCGATTTACTAGTTGAGTCTCAACCAGGCACGCAGGTTATTTTAAATGCCCACGATTTATAATTTCATTTTAATTGTATCCTAATCAAGCATCTGATATGTTGCATTAGGGTAACCTTTTGCGGCTTTTAGTTTAGAGGGGTTTCTACCTTTGATAAACTGATATACTCTGCCAGATGCTATGTAGTGCACTTGATATTTCTGGCTGTTTGTGTTATTTATGAAACACTGGCATTGTTCTGGGTCTGCTTAAATGGTATTTAAGGTGTCACATGCATGGGTAGAAGTAGAAGGGTTGAAAAAACCTCTTGGTTTCTATAGCCATAAGGAATTAATCGGAAGCAATATTCTCCAATTTTCTTCAATCCCTAACGTACCTCTTGTATTTTCAGCAGGTCCTAAGTGTGCAGGATTTGGTTGACTTCACACCTGTGTATCGATGTCTTCACATATATTCAGTTTTGGTAGGTACCTTGTCACTTATATGAAACACTTAATCAACAAGAATTGGAGAAATCATTGAATCTGCACCACAAACTTCAGTGTTCATGTCCATTAATTAAGGCGCTATTTACTTAGGAGCTGATTAATAAATCTTCCACCCAGCTGGGTGAAAGCCATTTGCACAACACTACCACCACTTGATGGAATGAGGGACATAAGAAATTCCTGTGCTCCTTGGCTCCATCTGGTAGCAATAGTGCTGTGCAAATGGCATTCGCCCAGTTATATGGTGGATGGAAGATTTATAAATCAGTGCCTTAGTGCTTTCACAGCTTCATGACCCACAATATAAAATAGTAGATGACTAAATGTAATATTCAAAGTGTTTGGTGATAAAGCCATACATACCCATATGTACACGTCCCCTCCCCCGTCCGTTCCGCCAGTCAGCGCTGGAGGATCGGAGCGGGGAGGGGGGAATCCAGCCCCTCCCCTGTCACGGCTCTCCGGTATGTGTTCACTCACTTCCCCATCTACTGAGCCAACCTGTGACAGTTTAATTGTCACAGGTCGGCTAGAACTACGAGGATGAGTGAAAAGCACTCACCTCATAGTTCTCCTTTAAGGAGCTTACAATCTAAGGTCCCTATTGTACATGCATACGTGTCCAATCTAGACAGGAGCCAACTGACCTTCCAGCATTTCTTTGGAGTGTGGGAGGGAATTGGAGTATCCAGAGGAGACCCACACAAGCACAGGGAGAACATGCAAACTCCTTTCAGATACATTCCCTGCCTCACCCTGGTCCAGTGATTCTGAAGTTCTTAAACCTTAGACCATAGACGTAAGATGGCAGCGGGACAGTCAAGCATGATCTGACCATCAAGCGACCACTTTACCCCTCAAGCGTACATGTTTGTAGACTAACTTTGCTAGCTGCACCTTAAAGTAGTAATTGTCCAGAAAAACAAAACCAGAGATCAACTTTTGACTGGGGCTCTGCAAGAGTGAATTAAGGCAGAATGGGTCCGTAGGGAAGTTAGCATCTCTGGTCCCTTACCACTTTAATTGATAAAAATATGGCAATAGTCCCATGAATATAACAAGTGACACCTGACCCAGCAAGATTCTCCCACATCAGGTGATTATCTGTACCTTAAATGTTACATCTTTGAGATCCGGCTCTATGCTGCTCTTGTTATGTGATGAGCATCCATAGCTTTCTAATTTATTTCTGTCACTTTTATAATTGACTAATTTGAATTTAATCACTTGTTTTTTGCTTCTGTTCCACCATAAAAAGCAAAACTGACCTTTAGCTGTTTTTATTGGGCCTCAGTACTTCAGATTCCCCTGTTAATAGTGTTCCTTTGCTTCTCAGTTCAGACTCCTCTGATTAGTCCAGGATCTTCCCAAGTGCAGTAAATCTTCTCAGACCTGTTTTCTGGTCATAAAAATTTTATAGTTGTGTCATAATGATGAAGAAGTCCAAGTTTAGGAGAGAAAAGCGAATTTCTAATGCAGAGCCTGCAACTTTGACTGGTTTGATATACTGTATCGTGGCCAAGGAAAGGGAACATTATGCGGCGATATTGTACAAATCACATCCGTCTTTGTGAAGATGTACACAGTGTAAATCTTATGCTGTCTTGTCATTTTCTAAAGGAAAAAATATAGCACAGGGAAGTTCAATAGAGGGGGGCTATTTACTAAAGTGTGAAGGGAACCTGTGTTTGCCTCAAACATCCAATTGTGTGATGGAAAAGCTCTTTTTTTTTGTAATTCTCCTGCACATGTTTGGAAGTTTGGCATTTAATGACCGCATGCTTTAGTAAATCAGGCTCATTAAGGTGGATCTGCAGTGAAAACTTTTTTTTGTTTTAAAATAGAGTAGGTTAATGGGGCAAAGGGGTTGATTTACTAAAGCCAAATTGGCTGTTCACTTTACAAGGGAATATGCACTTTGCAGGGGATGTTTCCCCTTAGTTTAGCGAATGAAGCGAAGCTCTGCTGACATCCATCCATCGTTGAATCATGTGCAAGGACACATTTTTTTAATCTTCAGGTTTTTAAAATTTTTTTCCTTGCATGTGATTGGTTATTCTTAGCAAGCGAGTTTTTACCACATACACTAAGCTAAGGGCAAATTCCCCTACAAAGTGCAAATTAATTTGCAAAGCGAACAGCCTATTTGCCTTTAGTAAATGGACCCTAAAATCTCAGGTGAGGGAATACGCAGTAATAAAAAAGGTTTTCAGTAGAGTGGGGAAAGATTAGCACATCTGTGCAGCTTTTATCGTTGTCTTAGCCCCATTGAGGAGATTTTCTCTCAATTCATGTACAGATACAGTGGCCATCAGGAAAGGAACTGAGAAATCTTCCCTTTTAGGACACAGACATTAGCCTGTTAATGTTAGATTAGACCTGTTAGATTTTCTAAGGCTTCTCTGCTCTGTTCTATCCAGAAGTATAAATAAATTCATAAAATAAAAACAAGGGGTCTATTCACAAAGCTGCCGAAGGATCTGGCCGTAAACATCCACACAAAACTTGGCCTGCCAGCATAAAATGTGGAAGTATATCAGATGCTAGCAGGGTTATTCACAAAAGGGTGAAGAGTTTGGAGAAGGCAGGAGAAGTGAACAATCTAGGACAACAAAGCTGAACTGGAAAGTGAGCTGAGTTGGAGAAGGGGTTAGCAGGGTTATTCACAAAAGGGTGAAGAGTTTGGAGAAGGCAGGAGAAGTGAACAATCTAGGACAACAAAGCTGAACTGGAAAGTGAGCTGAGTTGGAGAAGTTTTCCAAATCATCTATTTTGGCCTAGATTGTTCACTTCTCCTGCCTTCTCCAAACTCTTCACCCTTTTGTGAATAACACTGTAGGTCTTCATCTGGGTGTAATTTTGTAAATTTGAACTTTTCGCCTGTTTGTATCCAGCTTAATCTGTTCCTTTTCATCAGTATACAGTATACCTGGAGGACATTTTCTTTCACAAAATGTTTATTGAAAATTTTCAATACAACAGTAGAAACAATGTTTGTCAGAAATGACATCAGGCTGACGCAGCAGCCAATGCTTAATCAAAGAATATATAGTCTTCATAAATTGGAATCAGTGCAATTCAGTTAGCATACCGGTTGTAATAATCTCCAACTGAGGAAAAATGGCAGAAAAACTTGAAAGGAGGTCTCTGGGGTTTGTTTTCCCCTAACATGTGCCAAAAACAAAAATAAAATCGATGGCTATCACCAAAAAAAACCCATTCTGGGATTCAACATCAAAACAAATGTAGGAAGGGATACTTGGCCTTGCGGACCAAGCACAAAAATAAAAAGACAAACCACCCAAAAGGGTGTCTAGAACAAAGAAAAGGGGAAAGGGGAAGACCTAAGGGAGGAATTTAGAGGGGGAAACACTGGAGACATTTTATAATAGATATCACTTATTTATAAACAAGTACCCTTACCCTGCTTTCACCTCCAACATTTCCCAATTTACATGCCACTCCTCAATATGAGTAATCCATTATTTTCCATGGAGAGAATTTTTCCATTTTGCATTTTTTTTCCACCAGCCTTTTTATTTTTTACCATTTTTTCTTGGCCATTTTCAAATTTACCTTTTAAACTTCTATAATTTAGAGAACGATCTTGTGGCATATTAGGGTAAAGGGTGGTTAAATAAAAGGCTTGTTTGCCATTCTTTATAAACAGTCACCATGTTATTATTAAGTTATATGGTAGTTTTTTTTCTTTTAAACCATGAACTGGTTGCTGCCCACATCCATAAAAGCAGGATGTCATGAAAGATTTGGTTCCAGACACTGAATGGTACCCCAATGCGAAAATAGCTGCAATCCTGGGACCCCTGGATGTCTTTTAACGCCCCCCCTCGTCAACAGGCATGAGATCAGCCCCCAAATACCTCTAGGGAGCAGATCATCCAGGTGGATGTGTAATGATTCCGCAAATACATGAGTATACTACATGCGCTATGTCTGTGTTATATTTGATTGTTTATTGTATGTTTGATTTTTTTTGTATTCTCTGTTGCATATTGTAATGTATTCTTACCTACCTATATCATACAGGACTTTTAGTCGCTGAGATTGTTATACTTCTGCGATTAATCCTGCCTTTTATGCATATATTGTTGAAAATATCTTCAATAAAAATTACTTGCTAAAAGAAAAAAGATTTGGTTCCTATTACAAACTCGGCCTCTGAAAACAAAACGTAGAGACTAGTAAATGGCTTTTCTCTGTGTAAATGTATCATAGAGTGTTGAGTTTTACTGAAAGTTCTCCTTGTGTCCCAATTTAGTTTTTGGGGAATTTCCACTGCATTCTCCAATAGGATTGGCTTGTCTTTAAGCAATTTCTTATTGCTATTCCATGCATTTTGTTGTTCCGCAGTGCTTGTGAACCTTTGTTATATTAGCTAATCTATGGGGTGTTCAGCTCTTCTGTGGTGAAGCCTGTTGTTTGGTTTATTCTGTGTCCTCCTTTGCCTCTGTTGCGTGCTTCTAGCTGTGCTCCTGACAGAAGGGGGGAGTGTTGGTATCAAGTAATGGAATGTTAAGTAACTGTGACCCAGCGATAACCTCGTGCCCCTAAAAAAAAAATCAAAATGCTAAGCTGCTTTATTCTTCTTGCATACAAATGATGTTGTATTCAGTAGGTAGATGAGGCGCTCGTGGTGCACTGGTTTCAAACGCACAGATGGTTCTTTCTGAAAGGTTCTCCTTAATGAGATCACCAGGATTTCACTCAAGGTCCTTACAAAGGAGTCAAAGCATGATCCGAATTAGGAATAGAGTGTGAATGTGTTTACAAATTAAAGACAAAATGCAAAGCGGTATAAAATGACGGCTAAAATTTCAGAAGCTTAAATGGTTCTCTAACAAAAGCAGGTTATGAGAATCGAATGGTAATATATTTGGTTACATCTCAGGAAACAACTTTATTCCCATAAATCTTTCTTGACTGTTATAGAATGTACATGCAGTAGGAGACCTTG